CCCACGCTACTTTCATTCAAATATTTTGGAGGCAAAAACGCACTTATCCCGGTTAAAAGTTCCATAAAAGAGTTGTTTCTTGAAGGCATAGAGGGAATATATAGAGTGGATAATAATTGTAATGCAAAATTTTTATGGCGATTATGGAGATAAGATTTTCAAAACGGATGAAATTAACATGTATTCAGAAAGTAACCTGATAGGTTTAAGGCATGGGTCGCACTTGGCAAAGTTTAGTTTGAATGTGGTCACTTTGGTGAAAAAAATCTGTCATCGGGGCACATTGCCTAATACGACCCTAACTATTCCAGTTCGCAAAAACTTTGAAAACCGGCCAAAATATCAAAGACGCCGTAGTGCTTGGGTGGGGCAGGTAGATTTCGGAAAACTCGAGATAAACAATAGCTATCACAGCGGTAACTATCTTCGCTTGTCAGTAAACAGCAAACGACTCGACTGGTCGCGGAACTGACCAGGCATATGGCGCTTGAAGTAATCTTCGCTGACGTCGATCTCTCGCTCTCATCATAGCGGCAGTCAAGACAGTTAAACAGGCGTTAACCCATCTTTCAGCCGAGAGGGGGATCATTAAATATTCATACAACGTAGGTGCACGAGGGGGTTTTAGGGCATCATTATTATTCATACGGCGTAGGTGTGGAAGGGGGGTTAGAATTAGGGTTTTAGGGTTATGTTAGGGTTAGGGTTAGGGGGGATAGGGTTTTAGGGTTTAGAAAATTAGTATTCATAACGCGTAGGTTTGTGTGTTGGGTTTTTGCATCTATTTAAAAAAATAACGGTTTTTTCAAACAAAAGGAACAAAAGAATCCAAGATGTCGGAAGGATTAACTCCAACACACTGTGTTTGCATATTACAATATTTACTGTCACACAACGCGGTATTTGATTTGTAAATACTTGATAAAGGCTAGAAAAGCAGTCATCATATCTCTGTACAACTGATGGAAAGTAGATTGTTCTCCCACTTCTTGGTCGTAGGTTTCAATTTCGTCAATGTATTTAGTCACTTGTCTGCGTATATCACGAAGATCTTGTGAGGTAGCTTTTTCGTTTACAATGGCGAATAATTCGTCTAGGATTGTTCCAGCCCATTGGGGATTCTGCTCGATCTCTTCGTCCAAATGAGCTAGAAAGAATTCTTTAGTAGTGGTAATTTCTTTGTCTAAAAGTGGAGGAGAAAGCCACCTGCTACCTCAAAGACCCTAGAATGAAACGGTGCACTTGGTTGTATTGCGTTTAAAAAATGAAATGTTTGTAAAACGTTGTGAGATCATTTTATACATAAATGTGTTTTCAACGGTATTGTCTGTCTAGTATTGATTGACAAACTGTCAGAATAAAAAACGTATATAAATCGATCGCTTCATCGCGACGTGGTTCAGTGTAGTCATGCCATCCTTTCATGACTTTACATGCGAATGCGATCGATGCGAATCGTGTATATTAAAGGCTGAAATAGAAAGGGAAAGGCAGCAAAAAGCGGCAGTATATAATCCAAAGCGGCTACAAGTTTTCACAGAGCACATAGCGGGTCACTTGGGGTAAAACGAGTGTGTATACACCAGAAGAAATATGGTTCCAATGTACTTCGTGTTGGTATTATACTCCCTATTATATACTCCCTATATTATACTCCCTATTATCTAATTTGATGCGCGAAATCTCAATTCCTTTCACGTCGACTCGTCAACGAACGGCCTATGGATATTCCCTAAAAAACTCTTGGAATAGACAGTTTGTAATCATTCGTAGCGACGACGGTAAAGCGAATGCATCATGACCGACGTGAGAATTTTGAACGAATGTGAAATACTGTATGAGAACAAGTATCTATTCGATTTGTGCGCGCCTAAAAAACTGTTATTATTTTCTGCGATATTTACAAGCTGCGTTCGAGAAGAAATTACCATTACTCGAGATGGATGACCCAGCCTCCAAGTATAGCTTCACTGATGAAAGCCTGCGAGGAATTATTCGACGAGACGGGCAAAGAAGTCAACGAATGGCCGAATCCAATAGGAGGCCACATGTTTAAACATTGGGAAGCGTTTGAAAAGTTGGGCGAGCGCTTAAGGTCAAATGATTTTTATGTGGACGACGTGACCGAAGTCAGTGTTTGCGTCCTTACGTAATCCCATGAAAAGTCATTCAGATGTTATGAGTGAAATATGTACTTTGACATGTGTCAAATATTCACCCACGTGGTTTAAAAAACGGCAGAGTCGCATCGCTTTATCAAACATTGGTCAACATGTTTATGGAAACATTTACAGCGCCACATTGAAAAAGAAACTACAGTGTGAAAAAGCGTATAGCCGTCAACTGGGATTGGACTTTACAACTTTCACGCTTTGGGACTCACATGTTGGGTTCCAAGAATGAGGAGCATCATTAAATTGAACTTAAAAACAATCATCGGAACTCAAACCAACCCAAATTCTTCCTCTAAGCTTGCTAATTACCCACTTTTCATAATCGTTTGCAAACTTATCTATGAAATCTATGTGGCTGGAGATGTTTGATTTGGGAGCAATTCATAGTCTTATTATAACGAGCGAATCAGTCCTGAAAGGCCCAAATCTGCTTAATGGATCGAAAGGCCGATGGGAAAATTAATCCTCTAGTCTAAGTTTAGCAACTATCTATTTTATTATTTATCTTGTTTGGATTTGTTTTAATTCAGTTATTAATCTATTTTTTCAAACAAGAATACAGTAAATTTTTGTCATTTCACCATTTAAAGAGTTCTCAGTTTTGATACAGACAGATGGATGAGAAATTTGGTGCTAGTGCTATCGCTCTTTTTCGATAATATCGCTGCATTTGCGTCAGAGCTGGGTTAATAAGTTGACTGCGTTCAAGAATCATTTATCACACGCTTCATCATCATTGTCCCAGCGTCAATGTTGCTTTAAAATAACTGTTTATCTTTTATTATGCAGCTAAAATGTCTCGAGTGTTTCAAACTCACGCCACTTTTATTCAAATATTTTGGAAGCAATAAAGCACTAATCTCAGTTGAAGCTAGTCATTGAAAGTCCATTAGAGAATTCTTTCCTGAATGCAGGGATGTAATCGAGCGGGCAATAATTGTAATGGAAAATTTGATCCTCTCATGACGATTTTAGAAATAACAATTTCAAAACTAATTATCTTTATATTTCATTTAAAAGTGCAAAACTTGTGTGCTCTTGTTTTACTTTTTAGGAAAGGTAAAAACTACACAAAGAAATGACATTTGCTCAAACAAAGTGGTTTTGCAAAGCTAGACAACCTTCTTCGTTGCGGAAATTACGCTGTTACTGCTCAAAACTAAACTAGTTCGTCTATGAACGCAAGAGTGACGTTATCAAACGCCATGCTAAAGGTAACACTGTTTACATTATTCAGGCATAGTTAATCGAGGAGACCCTCGATTAACTATGATTCAGGTTACAGATTTTATCTCATGTTCAACCGTGGCATCAAGGGAATCTCAAAGAATTTTGTTCAATATGCTGACGTTAAGCTCGAGGCATTGAATTTAACATTATGCCCTAAATTATGCCACGGTCATTTATCCGACCCTACTCAAGGTTGTCAACGACGAACTTTTCTTGGGTAAATAGCTTTGCAAGTATAATCGTCAAGGAAATTCAATAAGGAATGTTTATTTAAGGACAATTTTACTTAGCAATTTCGGATTTGCTCATGTATGCAAGGAGTGTTTTTTTCCGAGACAGTCCACGAGTAGGCCGGGCAGATTGATTTGTATGAGTAAGACATAATGAAATAATTGTTAATCAGGCATAATGCATTTTAAGCTTTTCATCTCCTAACTGTGATTAAAGCTCGTTTTGATCCGAGTTCATCATTATCATTCTAGAAAAGGCGCATTTTTTTTCGAGACGCTGTAACATCTACCGACTGCTTAGAATTACTTGGTCATGATTTATAGATAGCTACCTTCGTTTTGATGAGCAAATAAGTATAATTTACAAGAAAAGCAGTCAGCGTGTAGGAGTCCTGATGCGCTTCAGAAAGCAATACCTACCGGTACCAAAGCACAACTATTTAAAGCTGCTATTCTTCCCTATCTAACTCATTCACACCTTGTTTGGCACTTCTGTCGTTTTAACGACACTAGAAAGTTGGAGCGTGTACAAGAAAGGGCAGTCAGAGCTATTTACCGCGAAAGATCATCAAGTTATGACAAATTACTGAATACAGCTAGTCTATGCACCTTGCGTAATGGACGGTTACAGGATATAGCTGTTCCTATGTACAAAAAAAAAACCAGATTAGCCTAAAATATATTGCAGACCTTTTTCGAAAGACAAACACACAATATTCACTGAGAAACAAGGAGTTCGCCATGCCTAGATTTAATGCGACTACACATGGGAAAGCATTCCATCAGAGACATTGGCCCAAAGTTGTGGATTCTAATACCTAAAAATGTAGGAGACCTTCCTGCATTATCTGTATTTAAGCATCGTATTAGAGAGCTTGATTTAAACTCCTAACAGCAACATCAGATCCCTAAAGAGAGAATTATTTGGGGGGGCAAATAGTTACGACTATTACAAATGGACAAATGCATGTGTGAGCGTGTATGGAGAGCGTATCCTTTCTAAGGTTTTTGCTGAATATATACATTTTGAAATTAATAACCTTTACTAGACTTCACAAATAGGCAATGAGAAAAGTAAAAATATTTTTCATAATTAAATTGGAGATAATGGATGAGGTAAATTCATGTCAGAAGTAGGTCGTTCCTGTTGGCAAGAGCGTACGACAAGGCAAAGAGCTCTAAATACCCATCTCTGTTTTTTTCTCGTCCCACGCTCTAGAAAAGACGAAGAGATTTTCATATACTGTTTATTTAATGATCAGCTTGAAATTCACCGAATCTACTGATTAACATCTTGGTGTTCGGAGCCAACGCATCGCGGAGGTAATCTTTAAAATAGCAATGAATCCATTTCACAATTTCTCTATCACACCTCATAAAGTGTGTCCAGTTTTTGCACATCCTGTATCTCCGAAGTTTTACTTTTTCCCTGAGCCATTTCAAGTGTTTCAAGACGACGAACTTTGTCTTTCTCGAAAACGGTGTTAACTGCAGTAGAAGGTTGCATTGTATTTTCATAGGTATCATCCTCACAACTGACCTGTTTTTGTCGTTCTCTTTTGTTTTCAACTCCTTCCATTATTCTTTTTCCAGCATAGGCTATCAGCCCAAAGAAGAAAAATCCAAACGCTATGATACACACGGAGGCCAAAATCAAAGCTTTTGAGAGAGGCACAATTAAGAAAGCACTTATAAGAGCAACGGTGTCCGAAATATAGTTGAAGCTTGCGAGAACCTGACGATGAAAATGCCTCCCAATCACGGATCCCACTGGAGCACCCAACACAACAATTGGCACACAAACTGCCAGGTAATAATATGCCTCGGCACTCACCGCTTGCTGGATGACCTGACGCCAGTAGAAGCCCACTGCTGTGTTTCCTGCCATCAAGACGACGGACGTAGGTGTGGCAGTCTTCTCGCTTACACGGAAGAGAAGGGTGAGAACGCTGAAGCTGCAGATATCCACGCCACTTCCTGCGATAGCTGAGAATATTCCACCGATCAATCCGGTCAGTAGAAGCACAATGAGCTTCCACAATTTGAATTCTGGGATAGTCGTGTATGTTTTCCGCTTGTGATAGCGATTCAAAAGAAACAGAGCAAAAGCGAACGCAAACCACACGCATACAAATCCCATTTTCTTCTGGGCAGGGGTGAGTTGAGGATCGATAAATTCCAAGCCAATTATCATGCCAAAGATTCCTCCGATGGAGCACAATGTTATGGAATGCCATTCAAGCTGCACGTGCATCCACAAGATGGTGAAAGCCGCTGCTGTCATACCGCAGGACTGGATCATAAGTGAGAAGTCACGTGCTACTTCTGGTGCAATACTAAAAGCGAGGGTCATGATGGGAAAAGCAACTGTGCCACCACCTTCACTTGTCATTCCTAAGACCGAAAAAAGCCTTTCTTCGTACGTGTTTGTCACTAAAAATAAGTAATAATGATAATAAAAAGAGATCCCTACAGAACGGAATGCAACTCTTTTACGCTTCCTATAAACCTGTTTAGTGTTTCGTTAATCTTTGAAAAGGTTTCCCAAAGTATACTGTCAAAAAATCGTTTCACGGAAATAACTTTTCGTGAGGACTAGAGATTGGGCGTGAAAACTAAAAAGATTGTTCACTTCCAGCAAAGGACTGCAGCGCAGGTTTGAATTCTTCTGATAATCGACGTCACATAACCCATATTTATTTACTTTAAGAGAATTAAGGATGTTCTGTTTACGAAAGAAAGCGAGATCAGTGACTTTCAAATATGAATCTGTACCTGCAATTAGGGAACCGAGAACCATCGTTATTGACATGAAATATCTGCCAGGAAACAGACTCCAGAAGTTGTACTTGATGGCACAACTCCACCATATGACTTGAAAGAAGATAAAGGGAATAGCTACCCCCATTAGCCGGCGGTGCTTGACAATGAGCCTCTGATAGTATGGCGCGCTCGGATCGAGTGTTTCAAGAGCTTGAGTCTGAGTAGAAGTCAAAGCTTGACCTGTAGGGGTGCAAATGCTATGATAATGTGACCGTTTTCATCTTTATTTTATCAACTCGTCATTTTTATCCAAGTTTATTTGTTTAAAGTACTTTGATTTTAATTAGAACGTACTTACCTTCTAAGAAATATTTTCTCATCCATTCACTCAAAGTTCTTCGTTTCTCTCTGTTTGATTTGATAACAGGACTGGTCTGTAAAAAGATGGAGAGATATCATCAACACATTGAGTGTATTTTAATGCCCTTGGTGTATTTACATTTAAACGAAACAAAAGTGGTTCACATCACTTTTTTTCGCAAATTGGGAAGATTCTGTTTAGATTGCAGGTTATCAGCATAGTTTAAAGTAGGAAAGTGGACGACGGTAGTGACCTAATGGTCTGTGTGCTAGACTCTCGGTAGAGAGATCTGGGTTCGGGACATGGGGCCTGTTTCTCGAAAGTCCTGGCAACTTAGCTTAACGGCCCCAAAGCCATATTTTAAATTCAATGAATTAGGAATAATGAATAGAGAAGCAGACTAAGATACCTTAAATATTCCATTTTTTTCTCTTTAGCTACGTGTTTTTTTGTTAAATTTGTAAGACTTTTAGGACCCCCAGTCTTGAATGAAGAACAGCAGCCCGTTAAAAATGAATTACCGAGACTTTCGAAAAACGGGCCCTTTGCACGGTCAACTTAAGCAAGACGGAGGAGGGATACAAAGGGAGTATCGATGAGTACATTTCAAATGAGACAAATTCTCCTCAACGGAAAATAACAAGGAATTTAGAGAAATGATTTTCAGGATATTGAAGAAAAATATAAGTGGCCTACTTGGTCAGGTGATGCTTGGGTTTCTACTGCAATTGAGCTATTTTTTGCTTGTTCAATTCCGGGTGAAATTAATGGCTGTCTCTGGAAGGAGCAGTGTCCACTTGCTCGCAAATCAATTAACACGCTGAATTCTCCATCTGCTGTGCTATCTTTTGATTCCATATTTTTCACTTACGGTTACCAAGGCTGCTCCTGTTACCTTGAAAAAAGATTCATAGATGGACAAAATTCTATTTTTTTGTTGTTACCTTTCCTTGGTAACGTCACGCAACAATACAAAGCAAATAGACCTTGCTGAGGAGACTGACGAGATATTCTTTTATATGGGAAGGTTTATCATGTCCTTTGACTCCCTTAGTTGCGATGTTACTAATGATTACCGATGTGAAATATTTACATTTGAAATCTCTCTCTTTAGCCGTCCTGCGTAGATCAAAAAGGGGATCAGAAACAGGTCTGCTATAATGTACAGTAACGGGTTAGTCATGTTTTAATTCATATAAGACTGGGTGAGTGATGACCAATTCGAGGCCATCCAGAGTTTTCTAGTACTAACATTCTTTGGATTATTGAACCGGAATGTAACCAATCAAGTACATAACTCAGCTACTTTGATGAAGCAGCTTTGACCCGAGACTAATTAAACAAACCTTATTGTGATTCAAAACATCCTGCTCACGTGGAGATCATTTGGAATCGTTGCTATAAGGCCAGTTGAAGGCTTGAGTACATCAGAAATTCTGTCCTGATAAAAGCCAAAATTGCGTTGCTTTTTAGATCTTTTTCTGCATACAGTAAATTGGTATCATAATAACTTTTAATTGACGACAACTTCAAGTTTGTTTAGATCTTTTTCTGCATACAGTAAATTGGTATCATCAGCAAATCGGTAAAAGCCAAACTTTTTAGAGGAACGATGCATGTCATTGACATAAATTAAGAAAAGAAGCAGACCAAGTAAAGAACTTTGAGGGACTCCACATACTATTCTGTCTTTGCTAGAGACAATAGAGCCGATTTGGGTTGATTGCATCCTGACAGACAAGTTTGACGAGAACCAGTCATTAATCAATCCTCTAATTCCATAATGGGGTAATTTATGCAACAAAATGGAATGATCAACCGTGTTAAAGGCCTTTTTTAAGTCAAGGAAAATGTAACAGGAAAATGATTTTTTATCGATGTTGTTTTGAATTTTATTTAGAATATCCAGAATTGCATGTTGAGTTGAGCAGTTCCCTCTAAATCCATATTGCGACGTAAAAAATAGATCATTTTTATTTATAAAAGATTTGAGGCGTTTGTACATTCTTTCTTCCAATATTCGATTAAGGACGGACAGTAACGATATTGGGCGATAGTTGGTTTGGTCAATTTCATCATCCGCTTTATAAATTGGAATTACTCATACCGTACTTCAATTTGTGGGGATAGATACCAGCTGAAATGGACACGTTCATTAGTTCAGCTTGGTAATGAGATATAGCTTGACGTGCGGACTTCAAAAGACGAACTAACAATCGCGTTAGGACAGCTTTAAGATATTTTTTGACGTAGATGTGCTTATTTTTGTTACTGAACAGAACAAAAAAATCATCGATACCAAACTTCATACATAAATAGCTTCACAGCTTCTTCAGACAATGAGCAAAGACGTGTAAATTCATCTTAAGAGTTTACAAAGTATGAATTATGAAAATCGCAACCGTAAAAGGCTTGCCTCCATCAGAAGCCACCAATGGAATGCTAAGGTAAAGTGATAGTTGAAATTCTTCGACGCGACCGTTTTAAAGACATAGTAAAGGGAACTGTCTTGTCTCGTGAAATTGTGCCATCCTGTCAATGTGCTATTGCGTCATGTCATGAATTTTGTCATCATGGCATTTCCATCGTTAACTTATCATCTCTTCTTAAGAAATGTAATGGAGCAAAACAAAACTCTAAGCAGGAAATTGATATGCCTCTCTTGTTTGTAAACAGAATGGTTTTTTTTTTTTAGTGTTCTATTGGACACTTCAATATAGGCGGGAAACATAAAACGAAATAGATATTACTTTATTTTTGTTTACTAAACAGAAAAAAAAATAATCTACACCAACCTTCATTTATAAATAACTTCACAGCTTCAAAAAACAATAAGGAAAAACGTGTAAGTCCGCCTTAAGAGTTTACAAAGTATGAGTTGATCAAAATCGCAAAAGTGAAAATCTTGCTCCGTCAGAAGCCACTAATAAAATGCTAAGGTAAAATGATAGTGGGAGATAGGGTTCATTTCCTCAATAAGAAAGACTTTGAGTAGTTAAGATACTCTATTGTCCCAGAACCGCCCTTTCTTAACTACTGCTTTGAGCGGTCTCTGTCAAAACTGTTGCGAGCTTTAATTTGGACCGAGCAAGTACAAATTTGGACTGATTTTAAGTACTATAAGTAAGTACTATAAGTAAGACGAAGACCAAAAGTTATACAATAAATCTTGCAAGGATACCCACCACAAATTATAGATGCAGACTTACTGCTTTAAACCTCGGTGCTTCATTCGTATCGATATGAAGTACCTTTAAAGTGATTATCGAGAATTTCTATTAGAAGGATTATTACGCCATGTTACAGCAGCCTGAAGACATCCTCTCGGTGAGAGTCAAGGTGAATACTCAACTGTCTAAATTAAAAGGGGTAAGTTTCTAAAGAAACTAAGGTGCTGCGTCGGTGGGGGTAATAAGGTAATTTGGTTATATCAACCAAGTTGACGTAAATTGGCCACCGTATAGAGTTGCAAAGCTGACGTTTTGAGCGTTAGCCCTTCGTCAGAGCGAATGGAGGAATTGTGGGCTGTGTGTGGGTTTATATGCATAAAGTGGAGCCACGCTATTGGTGGGAACATGGTTACGAGAAAAGCACGTATAAATTGGTAGAATGAAAAGCGTTCGTCGAAACCCATGGAGTCAAAGGTGCCTATTTGAAAGATAAACTTTCGCTGAAGAGTTTTGTGGCTTTCCGAACTACCTAAATGCAAGGAAAGTCCGTACACTGTCATATGCTGCTTATAATGAGTAGGTTCATTAAAGTGTCTGCGACTAGTTTTGATGCGTCCTTGTCATTCCTTTCCACGACGCGAAACGCGTTCTTGGAATCGATCACCTTGTCGCCTTCCTGTTTCGCCGATGTATATCTTTTGACAATAAGTGCAAGTTCTGCAATAGATGACGTTGGTGGAAGTGCACGTGATCAGTGATGTTAATGGATCGTTTGGGTCCCGATATTTTATCGGCGTTGTGAATGCAAGGACAAGTTTTGCCTCGTGCGCGAGCGCATTTAAAAGTGCTGGGTTAGTCAGTATTTTGGAATGAACTTCTGACCAAAAAAATTACCTATGTTTAATGATTGAACTGAGTTAAATCCATTATTCTTAAAAAACTTTAAAATGCTTCAAAACAATCCAGAGACTAGTATTATCTTTTTGCAAACCCCACTCATTGCGTTCAAACGCGACAAAAAACATTTTTAAGAGGCTGTCTCTCTTATTTCCACCCTGTCAATTTCGCGTCAAAAATAATTTTGCTTGAAACCCTGTCAACAAAAAGACTTTTCTTTAGGAAAGAACTAAACTATATCTGGTTTTATTCGAAATAACTTTCTGACTGCGTCAGGGGCCATAACTATTCCCAGTCTATAGGGACCGTCCCAACGCCTAGAAAATTGAAAAATAGGCATGTTTTGTAACACTGTAAAATATTTGATTCGTATACTTAAGCCACCGAATTTATACCAGATTGCTTAAAACATTTTCTAGTTTGCCAAGAAAGTTAAAATTTTCCCTCTCAATATATTTGAAAAGACAAATTTTAGCATATTGTGACCACTATAAGTCTCCATCGGCCGATGTCCCTAAACAACCTTGATTTAGACGTTAAGTTTTGGGATTTGAGACCTGGTTGACAACTCTATCCTACAAATCCGTGAAGTTTAGACCTTTATAGGCAAAAACATGTAAAAACCCCGATACGTTTTCGATTCTTTAAAAGTTATGACCGTTTGAATTAGTACATGGACGAGCATTCGCGATTTTTTCACCTACACTAAAATCGAGCCACTGGAGCAGATTTCGTTATAAATACAGGCTTACCTTCGGCGTATCTTGGGTTTATGTGAAATTTCAAATGTTCCTCGCTCCCCAAACTGGCGAACTTAATTATAACTCCAGCTAATAACTCCAAACCTCAGCGCTCGGCATCTATCTACACTCTTCTTTAACTGGTTGTTGCGAACTAATTATAAACTCGAAAACTAAAGCCATGTTTCTCGCTTAAAGTCCTGTTGAAACTTTGGATCGCTGCTGCATTCTCTTCAAGAATCAGTCATAGAACTCCACAAGTCTATATGTCGAAGTTTGGGGGCTGAGATTTGGAAATTAAAGCTGAACGATGGCAGTATGAAAGACATCCGTGGTTCCGTTTTCTCAGAGGTCCGCATTAACCATTGCGGGTGAACCCGCTGGCCATTTATTTTTTCTGGAAGGCCTGCATTTTTTTTGTATTGTAATCTTTATTTAGACACGATCAATTCTTCAGCCTATAAAAATACATATCACATACGCTAAGATATTTAAAATTAAAACTACATACTATAACACTAAAGCTGTTTTCCGTGAATGCCGTGCCGTGCAAGTGTAGTATTGGCATGCCAGTGCTTTTTCGAAACCAGAAAGGCGTCAGTCTGTAGCGAGTCTTCAGCGAGGTTGATAAAGCTTTCAGAATGTAGAGGTGACATCAATAAACATGTACAAGAGTGTCACTTAGGTGAGCTTAGGGGAAAAGTACAAGAATATGAGCTTATCGTTAACAGGTCAGGGTTGCCACACGACCTTTCCCCGTATCAACTTGAAGAACTTTGGATAGGGTAGAGTAGATAAGGGTAGATAAGTTTATCTCTCACATTTTCACAGAAAATCTGAATTACAATGTGGTTACAATTATTTAACAAATATATAAAATTACATGCGTGGATAGGGACTGGGCTACAATGGGTTTAGAAATACAAGATAATTAATTAAATAATTAAGAATTAACATTTAACTATGTGGGTATGCAAATATATATAAAAAGAAACTATTATTTGTTGAAGGCTAAAATAGTCCTTGGGAAAAAGCTGCGGCGCAGTCTTTCGGTCCTGCATTTAGTCACTGAAA